AAAAAAAAAAAAAAAAAAAAAAAAAAAATTACTTGCTGAAAAAAATACTTTAAAATTTCTACAGAATATGATAATTAATATTTGCCTTTTTACTTGCCTATTATCTGAAATAGAATCATAAAATTTGAAAAAGAAATTTTTTTGTTTCTGCTATCTTTGAATGTTTTTCTTTAAAAAAAGCTAGAAAAAACTAAAAATAAGGCTAGAGCCTTAAGCGGTTCACAAGGTTGACTATTATAAATAGCAAAAAAACCTTAAGCTTTATGTTGTTTGGTTACAAAAACTAATTATATTATAGAATCTTAGACTGAAAAAAAAAAAAAAACACTAAATAAATAAACAAGAAACACCAGTAAACAGCATTAACAGAATGAACAGCTTTTTCTAAAGTATTTACTAAAATTAGTTGTGATTAATGTTTTCAAATTCTTTCTGTTTCTTTTTTTCTTATTTTAATAACGCGTTTTCCTAACAGAAAGTTTATTGTCATCTTCTTCTACCTGTTTCTTAGTCATAATTCAAAAAACAAAAGAAAAAAAAAGGCACTTAATTTTTTGTACGTCTAAAATTACGTAAAAAAATTTTATGAACAAAAATGATGAAAAAGAATTTAAGTTTTAGAGGGTATCACATTTTTGGTGCACATTTTGTACCGCTGAAAATCGGCAACACTTTTGATAATATCAATGCAGCGAAAATAAAAAAAAAAGGCAAAAAAAGCAGAAACAAAAAATAAAAATAAAGAAAATGCCAACAGCAGATAAAAATTAAGATTTCATTTGGTATATACCTGAAATAAAAAAAAAAATAGCTGACATTTGTTCAATTCTGAGATATTTATCCGAGCATTGATCAGCAATGCTCAGCCGATTATCCAAATTCATTTCTAAAATCCTCATCATTTATTATTGTTTATACATACCAACGGTAATTGTCCAACGACGATAGTAGTTTTTGCAAGCTTTTTGCAGTAACCGTACAAATATGTTATTAAATTGTTAAAGTTTAATGCACTTAAAACTGCTTAATATACCGGTGATCATATGCGTATATATTTAATGTTTATTCTATAAGGCTTAAAACTGATACACTAAGATAGCTTTATGATAAAATACATAGATTAATGGGGTAAGAAAAGCGATATTATTGAAATAACGTATGTCTGTAAATTGTATTTGTGTGTGTCTTTGTGTGTTTATATATAGTTAAAATTTCCTCCACGTTTTTTTCTCTCCAGTTAATTTTGAACCATAATTTAGATGCAAAAAAAAAAATGTGGAAAAGTAATTATAAAAGATTTTAAAGTGTTAAAAATTTTATCGCAGAATTTTTTTCTTTCTGCCAATAACTTCAATTG